ATAGATAAGAACAGTTTTTCTTCACCTGGCTATCTCCTCCCGCTCAGTAGTTCTTCAGAGAAAGTCAGACGCAGAGGCCTGTCGATGTCTGTTGCATTTCATTACTTCTCTGCTTAAACCGCTACTCTGTGCTGAAGCAGAAACGATACTTCAACGTTTTCCATCATCTGACAAGTTGCAAGTCTACTCCACCATACTTTATTCACCAAAAACGTTTTTTTTTAATTCACAAAAAAATGTTCTGTAATCTGGAACGTTAGCCGCCTTACGCGTCATGCGTCACGGGCAAAAGGTCAAANCTGAATCGATAGAAAAGAACAGTTTTTCCTCACCTGGCTGTCTGCTCCCCTCAGTAGTTCTTCAGAGTAAGCCAGACGCAGAGGCCTGTTAGTGTCTGCTGTATTTCATTACCTCTCTGCTTAAATCGCTACTCCGTGCTGAAGCAGAAACGATACTTCAACGTTTTCAGTCATCTGACAAGAAGCAAGTCTACTCCACTTTATTCACCAAAAACGTTTTTTTGTTAATTCACCAAAATCGTTTTTTTAATTCACCAAAAACTGTTCTGTAATCTGGAACATAGACATATGATCTGGAACGTTCGCTACGTTGAGCTCCAGTTAGCCGCCTTATCTCACTGCGCGAGAGGAAACTGCGTCATGTGTCACGGGCAAAAGGTCAAAGGTAACAAGGTGACCGGAGGGCTTATTATGTTGTACAAAAAACCCCAACAAAAAAAAAAAAATAATAATTTTAGTACGTTATTTTATGTCAGAAGAGGGCTTAGGAAATAATAATGCAAAAAGAAGAAGAAGAAGAAAAAAAGTAATTTGACCAAAAGGGGCAGTTGCGTTAGTGGTTAATTAACCAGCGCAAACCTCATCATGCAGGTTCAGCCCGGTGAGGAGCTTTCGCGCACTCCTCCCAGTCACGCATCACGCTGATTTTATATTATTATTATTTTTAGTATTATTTTTTCGGTTATATGATGCATCAAACCATATCAAATGCTTTGTCGACTTAGTCAGCCAGGGTTAATCCGCGTGGCGGCGCGAAGATCCGAGAAACACGTCCCATAAACACGACCAACCAAAATAGTTTCTGTGTCCCCTTGTTAAAAACTCAACAGACACGAAATGGAAGAGCTACTAAAGCCACATTAGCAGCATTTAATGAAATCTCCCATTTGTTGCGCATCTCTGTGCAGTGCAGCGGGTTTAACTCATCATGCAGGGCCGGTCCAAGGCTGTATGAGGCCTTGAGCAGAATTTGACTTGGGGGCCCCTTTCGTCACTAAAAACATCAGCACCATTAACTGCTTCTGTGTTAAATTTAATCTGGGAGAAGGGAATAGATTAATTGGCCAACCTAAAAAGCAAAAAGTTATAATTGCATTTTACTAGTTTGTATTTGTAAACAAACAGAGCTCAAACTCAAAGATTAAACTCACAGCATCAGAGTGTAGTTATGGTAACAAAACAATAAAACTGTCTCACTGTCTCCATCCCTTGATGACCTATCTATTTCATGTGCTGTTTGATGTCCAGGTTAAGTTGTTCTTTGTAAGATTATAAACAATTCAATAAAAATAAAAGAAAAAAAGAAAAAAAAATACTTAAATGTGCCTTAAGTCTGAGAAGAAACTGAAGTGATCAACGAACCTCTTAGGAGCCAGAACATAAACTTCAGTTAGGATGGAAGATCCTTTTTACCAAAATGGATTAATAAAATGCCAACAAAGAGTTATGTTTTGCTGTTATGCTTTAACAAAGGTTTTCATCTTTTTTAATTATTCAATTTGGCACAGGTCTGACATTTCTGCTTGTAGGTCCAAACAACAGAAGTCTAAAAGAAAGAAAATGACATGCCAGAAAACTGTTGAGAAACATAATACATAATTTCTACAAATACCTAAAAGAAAAAAAATTATATATATATATATATATATATATATATATATATATATATATATATATATATATATATATAAGTGGCTGAACAGGAAAAAAAACACAAAAAAATTACATTTTCAGTTCCTCAGATGTTGGTACTAAGCAAGGATGTGTCCATTAGTCAGTTTTGGTCTCTAATAACCGTTTTCTCTGCTGCGTCCAGGTTCGAGTCAGAATCGAGACCTTCGTCATCATCCTGGTTCTCCTGGCGGTTTGTTCCATCCTGGCTGATGGCTATGGCTCCCTTTCTCTGAGGCAGAACGGTGAAGAAAGCCTCCTGCCAGCTGCCCTTCTCCAGATAAGCCAGGATGATCTCAAAAACTGGAGGATAAATGAGAACTCAACACTAAATACTGGGGAAGAAATAACTATTCCAATAATATGCTCATATTTAATTTCTGAGTCAGATTCACTTAAATATGCCAATTTCTTTCTACATGTACTTCCAATAGTACTTATAGAAAACCCATGGAGTGTTGTTGTCCATGCCATGCTGCACTGATGCAGTAATTCATGCAGAGTCCCAACCTACCATTGAGTGCATATAAATAAGCAAACTTTTTATAAGCCTGATATTTCTATTTAAAATCTATTTTTTTATCTTATGTAATAATCTTAATCTTCTGAGACATAATTTTGGGGCTGTGATTAATCTAAATGAAGGAGTTTCACTTCCTGAAATAAGGGAGAAAAAGTATTGTACTTTACCACAATATTTAAAGTAAATCAAAAATAGTTTCTTCTTTTCCTTTAGCAGCATTATCACACCTTGAAAATGAAGACAAATACAACTTTTCCTTTATTCAGTGAGAAAAGCTCCTATATTAGGAAATATTTGTTTCAGTAAGTTGATCTAAAGATGGGACCAAATCGAGTCAAAAATGGCTAAACAGCAGCAACAAAAATCAACATCCTCCACCCTATATCTTTATCATATGGATTTGTTTGCCATCAATTAATGTCACTACTTACCATGATTAACCGCCAGAACCTTCCGACTGTTCATTTTAACAAAACTGCTCAGAGGAAGCTGTGCATGGCCGATCCCCAGCTCCTTCGCCCGCTCATAACTAATGCCCTGCAACACAGATCCCTGCAGGTCAACCTAATCCCAGGAGTGCTATACTCCTGGGATTAGGTTGCAGGTCCGCAGCTGCTGTACCTCCAGCAGCTGCAGACCAGGACACACCTTATGATGGTTGTGGTCCACCAGGCCTCCGATCACATAGGCCTTCTTCTGGTCCAGCTCCTCCACCACATTGGGGGAGTCCGAGGTCAGGTACACCAGCTCATCCTTAGCCACCACTTCACTGTAGTGTTCTGCTTTAATGGTGATGTCCTGAACACAATTTCAGCATGCAGACACTGCAGTTACACACACCAAAAACGTGAATTCATTAGAAACTGTGTCAGATGGCTCCACTCTGGGTAGGAGCCTATTTGGTACGAAAACAGTCAATTTTATATTGATATAAAGCAGGGGTGTCAAACTCCAGTCCTCAAGGGCCGCTGTCCTGCAACTTTTAGATGTGCCTCTGCTACACCACACCTGAAAAGAATAATTAGGTCATTAGCAAGGCTCAGGAGAACCGATCTACACAGGGAGGAGGTAATTAAGCCATTTCATTCCACTGTTTTTTACCTGTGGCACATCTAAACACTGCAGGACAGCGGCCCTTGAGGACTGGAGTTTGACACCCCTGAAAAGGGAAACACTAAAGTAATTACTATGATTCTGCCACTAGTTTCTGTCTGAAAGACTACAGACACTAGTGGGGGAGGGGTCAGCTACTCTATGTTTTAGAGAAAAAGACCTGAGCTGTCTCATTAAAAGAACAAATTCATTATGTCAATAATGACCATGCTGAGTAGTGGAGAAACTCTCCATCTCCACTGTGGGTCGATGTTAAACAGACTTTGCATCAAGCACATTCTCTGAAAAAAAGATTAGCTAAAAATGAGCAACAAAGTAACAAGAATAAAGACTGAAGACTTTCACATCACACTTCCAAGTCAAATTTAAATCTAATCTCTGATTAAAACTAGAGGAGCAGCAATAAATCAGCTGATT